ACGCCATTCTCCTGCCTCAGCCTCCCAAGTAGCTGGGACCACAGGCGCCCACCATCACGCCCGGCTACTTTTTTGTATTTTTAGTACAGACGGGGTTTCACCGTGTTAGCCAGGATGGTCTTGCTCTCCTGACCTCGTGATTCGCCCGCCCTGGCCTCCCAAAGTGTTGGGATTACAGGTGTCAGCCACCGCGCCCGGCCATGCCTGGCTTTTTTTTTTTTTTTTTGAGGAGTCTTGCTCTGTCGCCCAGGCTGGAGTGCAGTGGCCCGGTTTCGGCTCACTGCAACCTCCGCCTCCCGGGTTCACACCATTCTCCTGCCTCAGCCTCCCGAGTAGCTGGGACTAAAGGCGCCCGCCACCACGGCCGGCTAATTTTTTGTGTTTTTGGTAGAGATGGGGTTTCACCATGTTAGCCAGGATAGTCTCGATCTCCTGACCTTGTGATCCGCCTGCCTCGGCCTCCCAAAGTGCTAGGATTATAGGCCTGAGACACTGCACCCGGCCTGGATAATTTTTATATTTTTAGTAGAGATGGGGTTTCGCCATGTTAGCCAGGCTGGTCTCGAACTCCTGGCCTCCAGTGATACGCCCACCTTGGCCTCCCAAAGTGCAATAGGCATGAGCCACCTCTCCTGGCCATTATTCATTATTTTTTTATGGATAGAAATATAAAGCATGTTGCTGGGCGTGGTGGCTCACGCATGTAATCCCAGCGCTTTGGAAGGCCAAAGCAGGAGGGTTACTTGAGCCCAGGAGTTCAAGACCAGCCCTGGCAACATAGTGAGACCCTGTCCCTACAAAAAATAAAAAACAAATAAGCTAGGCATGGTAGCGCATGCCTGTGGTCCCAGCTACTCAGGAAGCTGAGGTGAGAGAATTGCTTGAGCCTGGGAGGTCAAGGTTGCAGTGAGCTGTATTTTGCACTCCAATCTGGGTAACAGAGTGAGACTCTGTCTCAAAAAAAAAAAAAAAAAAGAAATAAACTATGTTGATTTTTAGTTAAGAACATAAGAACATCTTTACAGGAAAGTTATTTGTTCTGTGCTATAGCTGATAATTTTGTTCTAACAACACATGGCTAGAACAAGAGTCAAAGAATCCCAGAGTGTAAAGGGCATATAATTTAATCTCCCAGCCCAAGAAGAAATTCCTTCAAACTGAGTCTTAGAATTATGTAAAATGGTTATATTTGTTACTCACATTGTACCAGGCAATAATTCAAACCAGTTTGTTCACTAAGATCAAACAATACTTCTGAGAAATAATTCTCAACAATTGCATCTTTGGACAATCATATGCAAATACGCATAATTATTAAGAATTCCTTTCTGCCTCAGAGACTCTTTGTTTACCACTTTAGTACTGTATTTGTACTGACTTGCTAAGGACCACATTAACCTCTCTATGCCTCAATTTTTTCCAGCAGTAAAATGGAAGGTTCAGTCTAAGCTAGACAAATTCTGTGCCAAAAGATTTGGGGGAGAGAGATTGAATAGATTTGAAACAAACAAAAGTCTGGCTTTTTAAAAGGTCAGACTTTTTTTCCTTTTTCTTTTTTTTGGGGGGACAGGGTCTTCCTCTGTCGCCTAGGCTGGAGTGTAGCGGCATGAACACGGCTCACTGCAGCTTTGACTTCCTGGGCTCAAGCGATCCTCCCACCTCAGCCTCTCCAGTAGCTGGGACTACTGGCTCACACCACCCGGCCCCGCTAAGTTTGTATTTTTTGTAGAGATGGGGTTTTGCCACGTTGCCCAGGCTGGTCTCAAACTCCTAAACTCAAGCGATCCACCCAAAGGCAAGACTTTTTTGCTGTTTTTATCTCATCTGGTCTTGAATATTTTGACAGCATTCCTTCTTAAAACTATATTTATAAGAAGTCTCCCTGGTTTTTATTAGCTATATTGCAGTCACTCATTTATAATATCACCTTTCGGAAAAGTAAAAATTAAAATTCTGAGATCCTTAGGGGACTGGTGACATAAAAAGGTTAAGAAGAGGAAAACTCATTTTACTATTCATCCTGAGTTCCTGATTGTAAGTGAAAAGAAGGGGTCTCATTACCTCTTAAAATAAATTCTAAAACATCTGGAATTTATCAAATTAGTACATTAAATGACATATAGGCAAAGTTCTTCTCATGCATTTTCTGCTTAGTACAGAAATTATGAAGGAAGATCTGTTTCCTATTTTAAAAAAAAAATTTTTTTTTTGGCTGTGTGTGGTGGCTCACCCCTGTAATCCCAGCACTTTGGGAGGCCGAGGCGGGTGGATCACCTGAGGTCAGGAGTTCGAGACCAGCCTGGCCAACATGGTGAAATCCTGTATCTACTAAAAATACAAAATTAGTCAGATGTGGTGACACATGCCTGTAATCCCAGCTACTTGGGAAGCTGAAGCAGGAGAACTGCTTAAACCTGGGAGGTAGAGGTTGCAGTGAGCCAAAATTGTGTCTCTGCACTCCAGCCTGGGCAACAAAAGCAAAACTCCATCTCAAAACAAAAACAAAAAACAAAACTATATATACATATATATGTATGTTGGTTTTGTTTGTTTGTTTTTTTGAGAAAAGGTCTCACTCCTGATGCCTAGGCTGGAGTACAGTGGCGAAATCATGATTCACTACAGCTTCAACCTCCCAGGCTCAGGTGATCCTCCCACCTCAGCCTTCGGAGTAGCTGGGACTATAGATGTGTGCAACCACACCCAGCTAATTTTTTGTATTTTTAGTAGAGATAGGGTTTCACTATGTTGCCCAAGCTAGTCTCAAACTCCTGGCTTTAGGCAATCTGCCCGTGACGGCCTCCCAAAGTGCTGGAATTACAAGAGTGAGCCACTGCGCCCGGCCTATAAAATATTTTCAAAGTTTAAAATTAATGTTTTAGGTTTTTCCTCATGTGTCTCTTTTAAAGAAATCACTAAAAATGCTGTTTTTTTTTTTTTTTTTCCAGGCAGAGGCTTTCTACACACTAATTACATTTGAAATTAAAGAAGAGAAAAACAAGGCCAGGCACAGTGGTTCACATCCATAATACTAGTGCTTTGGGAGGCCGAGGCAGGAGGATAGCTCGAGGCCAGGAATTCAAGATCAGCCTGGGCAACAAACACTAGACACATATCCCTACCAAAAAAAAAAAAAATTATCCAGGTGTGGTGGTATGCACCTGTGGTTCCAGCTACTCAGGAGGCTGAGACAGAAGGATGGCTTGAGCCTAAGTTTGAGGCTCCAGTGAACTATGGTCGGGCCACTGCAGTATGGGATGGGTGACAGTGCAAGACCCTGTCTCAAAAAAAAAAAAAAAAAGAAGAGAGAAACATAATGTTTATTCACCTTAAAAGGAGAGAAGCAAAGCACAGATAAGAAAGAAAAAGAAATCATTCTAACTATAAGGGTGAGCACAGTGGCTCACGCCTGTAATCCTAGCATTTTTGGAGGTCGAGGCAGGTGGATCATTTGAGGCCAGGAGTTTGAGACCAACCTGGCCAACATGGTAAAACCCCACCTCTACTAAAAATACAAAAAATTGGCTGGGCATAGTGGCGGGCACCTATATTCCCAGCTACTTGGGAGGCTGAGGCAGGAGAACAGCTTGAACCTGAGAGGTGGAGGTTGCAGTGAGCTGAGATCACGCCAGTGTACTCCAGCCTGGGCCACAGAGCTAGACTGTCTCAAAAAAAAAAAAAAAAATTCTAACTATAGATAAACTTTATTAACCTAATGGTGTAGAATACAGTGCTTCTACATTTCTAATGAGTAACTTTCCTTATTAGGAAATAATAACTTCAGATGCTTCACCTTTAAGTGAAATTACAGAGAAATGGAAAGTTCAGCTAATGTTTTCTTCCAGCAAAACAATAAATGGCATTTCAAGCATGGTATAGGGAAGACAAGTACAAATATAATACAGCATCATATTAATCCAACTACTGAGGACAGGGGATCACAGGATTATCAGGGTTTGCTAAATAGGGAAGAGGATATTTATAGAGATCAGGGTTCTGCCTGAAAGGTACAAAGTAAGCTGATTTAAGAGGCTGGATGAAAGAGACCAGAATAAGTCTATTCTGTGCATCTATATTTATATGCCCATATTTTATTTTAACTGTCAAATGAAGGGAGACAGCGATTAGAAGTTAAATTTATTATGGGGCTGAGTTTTGCAGTATAAATACAATGAAATTAATTTTTAAAGTGCATTTTTTGGCCAAAATATCCATTCACGCAATTATCATTAAACACCCATAATGTGCCCCAAGTACAACAGTGAGCAAAACAGGCATGATGTCTATGTAGGATTTATATTCCTGTGACATTAAATAAAGCGATTTAAGAAACATGAACTTCAGTTAAAAGTATATTGTGTGTTACCAGCATGTGTGTATACACGTTATCTGCACCCTGGTGGGCAGAAGTGGTTTGACTCAACCACAAAACATTTAAACAAACTTTTCTACAGTCAAATCATGAATAGATGTGCTATGGACTACAGACGTTTTATCTGCCTTGAAATCAGCTTAAACTATTGGCAGAGGCATGGTGCACTGACCTAAAACAATACAAACTAGGTCATTCAAAGAAACCAGAGTGGTGGAGGGGGAAGGAATGTGATGGTATATGGAAAATATATGTGGTTGTGAGGAGCAGCTAAAATGTAAATTCTGAAATTACGAAGCCAACCGTCAAGTACATACAGTCCCCATAACTAACTTAAATATAACTGACTTCTGTTTGTTTTTACGTCTTTCAACTAAACTCCTATCAGCTTAAAGCTCAAAATTGAGAACTTCATCCAAACTGTGTCTTCTTTCTCATCACCCTCTCCTAAATAAATACAAACAATGTTTCCTGAGGAAAAAAGTCTGGGCATCTCCTCAGGAAGAGTGGGTTCCCACTTCACCAGAGTGCTAATGAAACGATTATGGGCTTTTACACAGACTTGTATTCAGCTTCTGTGTGTGTGTGTGTGTGTGTGTGTGTGTATATACACACACATATATATATCTATATATATCTGTGTATCTATATGTGTATATGTGTGTGTGTATATATATATATAAAAAACACTGAACACAGTTTCAACTAGAAAATAGGAACAGGCTGGGTGCGGTGGCTCACGCCTATAATCCCAGCACATTGGGAGGCCAAGGCAGGCAGATAATGAGGTCAGGAGATCAAGACCATCCTGGCTAACACGGTGAAACCCTGTCTCTACTAAAAAAAAAAAGAAAAACAAAAAGAAAATTAGCCGGGCGTGGTGGGGGCGCTTGTAGTCCCAGCTGCTGTGGATGCTGAGGCAGGAGAATGGCGTGAACCTGGGAGGTGGAGCTTGCAGTAAGCCAAGATCGCACTACTGTACTCCAGCCTGGGGGACAGAGTAAGACTCCGTCTCAAAGAAAAAAAAAGAAAATAGGAACAATACTTATTGCTATATCTTGTATCTCTTATATCTCAAGAGATGATGCTATGAGGATGAAATAAGGTCATGTATGTAAAGCATGACACATAGCAGCCACTCAAAACACTACCCCCGTGTTTTTTGTTTTTTAAATAATTTTTCACTGGCCATTTTCTAACTAGAAAACATAAATAACTGTTGGGAACAATCTTCAAATGTTGAACATGCTTGAGAATGACCACAAGCTCCATATATGTAGAAAGTGCTCCATAAATACTGAACGAAGGAGTCATATGTTAAATAACAGTGGATAGTTATATGCTAAAATTACTGTCATTTTAGTAATTCATCAAGAACCTGGCATTGTAAAGCAGGCATAAAATAGCTGACTAAATGCTCAGAGAAACCCATATTTGGGTTTTTGCCACAGTTACCCAAATTTGAAAAAAAAAATGTATTTGTCACAGCTGACATTTGAAATAAAAACCAAAAAAACCTTGGGGTTCACTTTTCAGTTGTACAGTTAACCCTGGGGGCTCATGGGATACCAGATGAGACACACTTAAGTCACACCACTGACTAAATTGTGTTTCACTTCAAGTTTTAAGAATAGCTCACACTTTTGGAGATAGAAAAAAAATGTATTTGGGAAACCAGATAAAGAATCCAGAATAATTTGTCCTGATTTCTTATTGTTCATCTTAGGAAAAAGGAAAAAAGAAAAACAAAATCTGTTTTCATCATTGATCACAACAGTTGTATACAACAGTGTTGTATATACACTGTCAATTTGTTGTATAAAGTGCCAATTTGCACCTGGAAACATGGGCAGTGGTTAATTTACTGTGGTCTCTAATTATAAATTAAGCAATCATGGAATTACACAGTCCACTTAATTGATAAACAAACTGGGAAAAGTTAGCCAACTCTCATGCACTTCTCATCTATAATGACGAATCTTAACTCTGTTGGTTCGGCATGCCCTTTTCATTTCAATTCTAACTATTTTCTGGGTAAATATTTATGTTTGTACTCATTTGTTGAGAAAAACTTAGCCTTTAAACGGACAGCTCACGTATAAATGATTAAGAAAAAGAAACAGTTGTAAAAATCTGTTTAGCCTGAGGTTAAGAAAAAAAAACTGCAAGTGTAGCAAGTGTGAAATATGATTGGCAACTTCAAATAACCCTACTTCTTTAACAATCTGACAATGTAAAATCAATTAAGATTTTTTTCCTATCTAAAGCTACTCACTGGATAATCTGACCAAACATACATCTATTTCTTTTTCTTCCTGGGCATCTAGCTTTTTTTTATTTTATTTTTTTACTTCTTAAATTGACAGAAATGGCTCAACATTTCTAAAAGTGAAGAAAGGAACTAGGAAGAGAGGTGGAGCAGTAACTATAAGTTTGATGACAGGCTCTTTGCAGCCAACTAACCTGCTTTAAGTGGTTCAAAATCAATTTTTCTTTGATAGCTCTAAAATTACTCAATTCCATTTTAACTCCCTCCAACTAACTGTACAGACATCAACAAGAAACAGAGTGTCAACGGTCATATCTGTCACAATCATAATTTAGAATTTGGGAAAGCTTTAATTAGGGCTGACAGAGAAAAGGCTTGCCCCAGATTGAAGCTCGATCTCCATTTTTAACATCTCGTTCTTTTCAGTTTGGAGACCCCAAGCTAGGATTAAGATCTTTTGGTCCTGGTGTGGTCACAAGCAAGAGGAGACTGCAAAAGGTTTCGAAGGAAATTCCAGAGACCGGGCAGCTAATATGCTTCCATCAACATGGATTAAGTATTGAATGAAAAATCGGTCATCACCAACAACCAGGTCTTGCACAACTCTCAGCAAATAACTAAATAATTCGGGACTGAGGAAGCGCACCCGCCACGCAGACACCAAGACGGCGTAAAATCCACCAGGCATCCCTTCCAAGCGGCTCCCCTTTGTGTCCTGAGACTTACTCCCCTACCCCCCGGGGCCCAGACAGCGCGAGAAGGAGGGCTAGGCTACCATCTCCCCTGCTACCGCCAGGGCGACCTCAGAGCCAGCGGGGCCGGCCTTCTCTCCGCTTCTGGCCGGGCTCCAGACGAACCCCACTTTACTGCAGCGCCGGGAGACCGATTGCCCGGGAAGTCTAAGCCTGCGAGCGAAAGCTGCTCTCTGCAGCTCCTGGGATCCGCCCTCACCCCTGTCCCCAGAGTAACGATGGAGCCTGAGCTCCGCACCCTGCCAGCCGCGCACTCTGCCAGCCCCTTCCCCAAGCCTCGGACCCGCCGCAAGCCCCGCCTTCCTCTCCAGGCCCAGGCCTCCCTCCAGGGCCCACCGTCGGGGCTCCCCGCCGACCCCCGAAATCAGTGCAGAACCCAGATAGCAGGCTGAGCGACGTCCCATTCCCTCCTTGGCTTTAAGCGCAGTGCTCCGCCCTGGGCCTGGGGACGGGAGGGGGGTAACTGGCCGGCTCCAAGGGGGCCCAGGTCCCCATACTCACCATCCTCCCGCCGAGTCCCTCCTCCTCCTCCTCCTTCTCCTCCTCCTCCTCCTCCTGCCTCCCCCGTTACCAAGGGCAACTGCTGCGGCGCCGCCCCCGACGTCCCTCGCACGCACAGCAGAGGAGTGGAGCAGCAGTACGGGGCGGGGTGCAGCGCCGCTTTCCCCAGAGTGCGCAAGCGCGCCAAGGCGCCCGCCCACTGCGAGGGCGGGCTAGGGGAGCTGCAGAGGCGGCCGCCGGCTAGCTGGGACCTGGGAGTGGAGAAAGGCTGCCCACGTGGCTGGCGGGAGCCTCCAGGCCTGGGATTGGTCGAAAAGGAGGGGCGTGGGCGGGCATGGGGGCGGTTCCCCCGCCCAGGTCTCTCCCCAGGCCAGGTTTCTAAGGCGGACTGTAACTGGTGGCATTTGTCCCGGGACCAGGTAAGGGGCCTTGGGACAAGGGCGCTCACCCTGTCTACCTCCAATCCCCACATCTCGGGAGGGAGCTGAGATTTCTGTCCTGACTGTCCAGGCGGGGCTGCAGCGCGGGCTAGACTTCCACCTACAGAAGCCACGTGGCGCGAGGAGTGTGCCCTGGGGCAGCAGATGGGCCCCTCTGCTCTGATCCCCATTGCCTGCGAGTGCCAGGCCGAGGGGCTGGGGCGTTACGACCCGTCCGGGATAGGGGAGTACCGATGGGGGAAGACCGTCTATCGGAGGGCAAGAAGCAGCCTGGGGCTGGCCCTGAGCCCTGAGGTGAGCTGAAGCACAGGTGAAAGGCGTTTTGGGGATTGGCCCAGTTTTTGTTTTGAGACAGGTTGTCGCTCCGTCGCCCGGGCCGGAGTGCGGTGTCGCGATCTCGGCTCCCTGCAGCCTTCGCCTCGCGGGCTTAAAAGCGATTCTCCCGCCTCAGACTCTCGAGTAGCTGGGATTGCAGGTGGGCGCCACCACGCCTGGCTAATTTTTTGTATTTTGTTTTTGTAGAGACGGGGTTTCGCCATGTTGCCCAGGCTGCGCTCGAACTCCTGGGGTCAAGCGATCCGCCCGCCTAGGCCTCCCAAAGTGCTGGGACTACAGGTGTCCCAAAGTGGTAAGCCACAGTGCCCAGCCTCTGGCCGGTTTTGCTAAGCTGCTTTGGACCAGACCGTGCACCATCTGTAGTCCTGGAGGAGGCAACAATGAGCCTGCATTTTCAGCCAAGGAAGAGCAAGAAGGGTACTGGGGTGGGTTGGGAAGTGCTACCTCCCACCCCTTTCCTGATGCAGAGGACTGTAAGAAGAGTTTGCACAAACGTGTTAGGCCCTGTTCTAGACGCTGGAGACACAGCAGTGGACAAAATCAGCCCGTATGGAAATTACATCCTTCCTAATGAAATACGTTTCATACCAAATTTCATTTCATTTTCACAACCCCTATAAATTGGTAATTGCGGCCAGGCGCAGTGGCTCAGGCCTTTAATCCCAGCACTTTGAGAGGCTGAAGGGGAGGATGGCTTGAGCCCAGGAGTTGGAGACCAGCCCGGGCAACACAGTAGGACCCTGCCTCTACAAAAAAAAATTTTTTTTTTTACTTAGCCAGAGGTTCTGTGGTGCACTTGTAGTCCTAGCTACTCAGGAGGTTGAGGCTGGAGGATTACTTGAGCCCAGGAGCTATTATCACACCACTGTACTCCAGCCTGGGTGACAGAGCAAGACCCTGCCTCAAAAAAAAAAAAATGAAAACAAAAACCAACATCTGCTGTTTGCATACCTGCTTCAGATCCTTAGAGAGAAAAGCAGTTCAGAGCCTTGACTAAGGAGGTGATGAATGGAGGTGATGATATAGGGACACAAACCCCTATAATCTACTCATCTGTAGACTGTTAGCCCTTTTGTGAAAAAGGCAAGGCAGGTCGCTCTTTCTAAGTTGTCTGGTTTCTAAGAGCCCACTTGCCTTGGAGTCAGATGAGTATCCATAAGCCTATACCTGGGCCTGCTCCTGTAATTATTACTCTCATTTTCCAGCTTGCTCTAGGCAGCCTTGACCCTAATCCTTGCCTGTCTCAGTGGTCTTTGTGTCTGACCTTCTGGGGTCTTTGGCTACCTTGATCTTCCTCTGATGTAAGTACCAGCGATATGCTTCGTTTTTCTCCCTACCTGGGGCTACAAACAGGAATCTTGTGCACTTCTGCTTTTAAGAGGATACCTCAGAAGGAATTTGGAAGCTTGTTTTCTGATCTCTAATACCATTTGTCAGAGAAAATCTCTCTCTGGGAAGGATGAGCATTATGTCAGCATTATGTAGTAGTCTATTTCTTTTTTTTCTCTTTTTTCCCTCTCTTTCTTTCCTTTTTTTTTTTTTTTTTGAGATGGAGTTTTGCTCTTATTGTCCAGGCTGGAGTGCAATGGCGCGATCTTGGCTCACCACAATCTCCACCTCCCGGGTTCAAGCGATTCTCCTGCCTCAGCCTCCCAAGTAGCTGGGATTACAGGCATGTACCACCAGGCCTGGCTAATTTTGTATTTTTAATAGAGATGGGGTTTCTCCATGTTGGTCAGGCTGGTCTTGAACTCTCGACCTCAGGTGATCTGCCTGCCTTGGCCTCTCAAAGTGTTGGGATTACAGGTGTGAGCCACTGTGCCAGGCCTCTTTCCTTCTTTTTTAAGGAGTTGGCAAGTAGGCTATAGTGGATAGAGGACCTTGGGGAAGTAAGTAAGGCCTTAGCTGTTGTCCAATCTTTGAGGACTGGATCTGTTGATTGTTGGTGTTTATATCTGCTGCAAGCACTTAGTGCAGGGCCAAGTGTACCAAAAACGGTGGCCCAATCCGTGTGCACTTTCTAGGCTTCAGTTTCCTTTCTGTAAACTGAGATCTTAGATCACTTGTCTTCAAGCTGTGACATTCTGTTTTTTTTTGGAGACGGAGTCTTGCTTTGTCACCCAGGCTGGAGTGCAGTGGTGTGATCTCTGGTCACTGCAACCTCTGCTTCCCAGGTTCAAGTGATTCTTCTGCCTCAGTCTCCCGAGTAGCTAGGATTACAGGTGCCTGCCACCATGCCTGGCTGATTTTTTGTATTTTTAGTAGAGATGGAGTTTCACCGGGTTAGCCAGGATGGTCTTGATCTGACCTCATGATCCACCTGCCTTGGCCTCCCAAAATGCTAGGATTACAGGCGTGAGCCACTGCGCCGGGCCTCAAGCTGTGACATTCTCTAATCCTAGGAGGGAGATACCATTAAATCACTGGTCTGATTTTGACTCCTACCTTGTTCCTAGTAGTGTAACCATAATCCTTCAGAAGTGGGGCTACCCTGGACATGATGATGACCTTTTTAGGGAAGACTAGATGTGGCTTGTGTGAGAGGAGGGACAGTAACTATGGAAGAAAATTTAGAGACCGGTATGACTCAGCTCAGGCAAGGTAGACAATTTGCAACTTCATGAAAGAAAGCCTGCTCTTGCCGGGCACGGTGGCTCTTGCCGGGCACGGTGGCTCACGCCTGTAATTCCAGCACTTTGGGAGGCCGAGGCGGGCGGATCACCTGAGGTCAGGAGTTTGAGACCAGCCTGACCAACATGGAGAAACCCTGTTTCTACTAAAAATCCAAAATTAGCCGGGTATGGTGGTACATGCCTGTAATCCCAGCTATTAGGGAGGCTGAGGCAGGAGATTCGCTTGAACCTGGGAGGTGGAGGTTGCAGTGAGCCGAGATTGTGCCATTGCATTCTAGCCTGGGCAACAAGAGTGAAACTCCATCTCAAAAAAAAAAAAAAGCCTGCTCTTAGTTCTGTAACCTAGGCAGGTTCTGAGTTTGACTTAAGAGAGGTGGTATCCTTGATGCCAACAGACCCAAGAAGTTGGAATACATTTCAGGTAAGCAGTGAATATTCTTCGAGGGCACGTGAAAGATGTAGCAGGAAACATCACAGACATGATCCCTATGCTCGTGAGCCTTACAGTCTGTCAGGGGAGGCAGACTTTACACGAATCACAGTCAATGACAAGAAGGTGACAATCACAAATGCCCAGCATGCTGCAAAGGACAGGATGCTGTAGGAGTATATATCACAGAAGGACTTGAGTTTGTCCTGAAGGAGTCGGGGAACAGTGCCCATTGGGGTACGGTGGGTGTGTGGCGGAAATGTTCCAGACAGATCGTTTAGGTTTTTTTTTTTTTTCCGGCTTTATGTTTTATTTAAGACAGGGACTCTGCAGTTTCTATCCTGACTTTAGTTAAGAAGGCAAAGGCTCTTGCGTAAGTAGCAAATGTTTAGTTTACCCCTTGATGATAGTCCCTCCATTCTGAGAAGCAGAGGACTTTTCAATGTTGCGTTAAGGGGAACAGAGATGTCAGAGAAGGTCTGGCGCTGTGTGTACGCTTGTGCTGAGGGGCAGGCATAGCATTTTGCTCAGTCAGGCTGTCTCCAGCGTGCGTGAGCCTGGGGCTCTGTAAGCCAAGGCAGCATGTGGTCAGCCAGCCAAGCTGACTCCTTTTAGGTTCATGTAGAGCCTGGGAAAGTGAACTCTTTCCCCTCCTCCCATTCCTGCTTCAGTTGGGACTGAGAGAAATGCCTTTGGTCTTTGAACCAGCCTGCAGGAGGCCAGGTGGCAGGGGAGAGGGGAAGTCTGAGTTTTGGCAGTGGACTCTTTCTGTCTGCCTTCTGACTTCTCTGGAGATTGCTGCTTCAGAGAAGCATCAGGGCCAGGCTAGGGCGCTGTGGATACTCCATGTTGAGCCTCTCCTCTTGTCCCTGGTCCTTCCTCTTAGGAAAAGGTGTACCCCAGCATATCAGCTTCCTGATGTCTCTTCCGCCTTAACGAAAAAAATCTAAAAATTGACCACCACTCTTCCTTCCCCAACTCGGTCCCTCCTGCCTCTTTTCTTGAACTGGAACTCCTGGCCTCCCAAAGTGCTGGGATTACAGGCCTGTCTGTGCCTGTCTCCACCTCCTTTCTCTCTTCTTTCTGGTGGTTCTTCCCATCTTTGGGGGCTTCCTTTTCTCAGCTTCTTTTTTTTTTGAGACAGGGTCTTGCCCTGTTGCCAAGATGGAGTGCAGTGGTACCATCTTGGCTCACTGCAACCTCCACTTCCCAGATTGAAGTGATTCTCCTGCCTCAGCCTCCCGAGTAGCTGGGATTACAGGCACCTGCCACCATGCCCGACCAGTTTTTTGTATTTTTAGTAGAGGCGGGGTTTCACCATGTTGGCCAGGCTGGTCTCGAACTCCTGACCTCGTGATCCACCTGCCTCGGCCTTCCAAAGCGCTGGGATTACAGGCG